TGGAGAGAAAATGTTTTGAGAATGATGTACAAATGCGCTTCACACAATTGATGTGTGTATGGATTGCGATAACAGTTGTATGAGCCCCTAATAAAATGTTTAAAAAAACCCAACAAAACTCTGTAGAGGGCTAAAAAGAGGATGGCCCTCAACAAAATGGATCGACACAGCGACTACAACAATAAGCTCAAATATTACAATTGTGATATTTGTGAAGATACCAGTGTTTTGATGTGTTGTACACAGATAGGGTCACTGGGTCAGAACTGATTCCCTGGCACTAACAACGATGTTTTAGAAAGTCCAGTAAACTGAGCATAGCCACGTTCATGTCCCAGTGCTTTTTTTGAGACAGGAGACATGGAGGTGTCACAAACCTTGGATCATCAAACCCATGCATGAGAAACGATCCCCAAACGCACCTTCCGGCTCTGTTTTCCTCTTTAAAGTGACTGCGTATTCGAGCCGTAGCAACTCTGCCTCCAGGCCGCACAAGCTGGCGCTCGCTCCCGCTCCCACCTTCCTCTCCGCGGCCCAGGTCCTGGGCAGAGTCCTCATGGGCCACCAAATTAAGAGGCCACTCAAGGTGCCAAGAATGTTCTCTGAACCTGGGGCTACGCCCCGCCCCGCGACCCTGCGGACCGGAGCCCCGCCCCCTCAGAAGACGCCCCGCCCTGCGACCCTTCGGATCTGAGCCCCGCCCCCTCAGAAAGTACTACCCGCGAGCACGTGGGGGCGGGGCCTGCGTCAGTGTAGGCGTGGCAGGCGGGCCTTCCCTAGAGCTTGGATCTGAGGCACTGGTTCAAAGATGGAAAAGAGAATGGTATTAACGGTATCTTGTTGCTAACGAGAGCTACGTAGTGGTTCATAATCTAGCTCCATCCCAGAAGAAGCCGGATTCTAAGCACGACCCACGAAGACAGCGTTCTCCGCCTCCCAGACTCCCTCGGCTTTCTGGACTACAGCCCCCAGAAGGCCTCGCGGGGCAGCCCTGTGACCTGCGCAGTAGCGTTCGTTGTAAAGTGCTATGACAACAGGGCTAAGATGGCTTGGAGTTAGGTTGGAGTGGGGAGGTGCCCTCTACGCCGCTGATGTCGGTTTTCGGCTACATTCCAGTTACCGCCTCCTCCATCATTTCCTCCTCGTTTTGAGTAGCAAGAGTTGCCCTTGCTTCCGCTTTCTGCTCTTTTCCAAGGGATTGATGCTGTTTCTCCTGCTTGTCTTCGGGGGTGACTGGGAGTGTAGGGGCGTTGCTTTGGCGAATCCCCTCAACTCTGTGGAACTGGAGGTGTTGGCTAGTGAGGCTCTCTTTTGGCTTAGGACCTTGAGCGAGTTCGAGCAGGAAGACAAGAGGGACTAGTGAAGCTAAGGATTGCCTTTCTCCGCACCCCCTGTTCTTGTTTTCTCTGCTCCAGTCCTGGGACTCTCGGGAATCTGCAGAAAGAGGGTTCGCAGAAAGGTGGGGCGAGTCCCACCTGACCCGGCATCAGGTAAGAAAGAAAATATGTCTGGAATGAGTCTTCGGTGCATGCATTTCCTCTCCGTGTATTGTTTTGTGGACAAGACGGATTCTCTGATGCCGTGTACTGGTTTTGTGGATGTTGGCTCGTCAGCTTCTTAGGAAGGATGTTTGCATTCAAACCAAAAGCAAACAGAAAAGAGCACAATATGTGTGTGGTACAGTGAACATCTGAGGATTGGATAACAAGAATTTTTTTCAGGATTCTGCTGGGAATGTCACGTGGTGCACATCAACAGGTTCTCTGAGCAAATGGGCAAAGCAAATCTCAGCCTATGCCTGAAGTAGGATACATGTACTAATACGCTATAATACCTTATTGCAATAGGATTACTGCTTCTCCTCTTTGCAGACCCTGCAGTTTAGAGGAACACAGTTGATTTCATCAGCACTTTCTTCCCCCAAACAAATCCTGTCATTGATTCCAATTTCCTGGAGAAATTCATAACTTTTTGCCCTTTAAAATGAAGCCATCTCATACAAGTACATAAATATTTTTCTTTTAAAACAATCATTTTATCGGGAGCTCTTATAGCATTCCATACATCAATTGTAACAAGCATATTTGTACATATGTTGCCATCATTTCCAAAATATCTTCACTTGAACCCTTGGTATAAGCTCCGCTTTTCCCCTCACTCTCCTGTCCTCCCACCCTTGATCAATTATATATTGTTATTGTTATTCCATATCTTACCCTGTCCATTGTCTCCCTTCACCCACATTTCTGTTATTCGTCCCCTTTGGGGGGGCACCTATAGATCCAATCTTGTGATGGGTTCCCCCTTTCTCACCCTTAAGTACATATCTCTTACATGTACACATACATACACAATTTGACAGATGTTAGAAGGAAAATTACAGGACTGGGCTAAAGTCAGCCAGCTTTTGGGAAGAAGGATTTTTAAAACTTGTTAAGCAATATGATAGAACTTTTGGGGGTATGTGTATACAAATAGACGGAGCCATTGTTTTTTTAATCGTTTTATTAGGGGCTCTTATCACAATGCATACATACATACATCAATGTGTAAAGCACGTTTGTACATTCATTGCCCTCATCATTCTCAAAACATTTCCTCTCCACTTAAGCCCCTGGCATCAGCTCCTCAGTTTTCCCCTCCCGGCTCCCCTTTCCCTCATGAGCCCC